AATACTAAATGTAATTAGTTATTTTTTGGTGGTGGAACTACAAGTAACGTATATTTTCCATATCTTGTTACTGTTATTTTAAATATTTTCCAAATTTTCTAAAATCAACATGAATTAATTTTATAACTAACAAAAAATAAATTAAGTCTGAGTGCGATGGATCATGCCTGTAATCCCAGCACTTTGAGAGGCCAAGGTGGGAGGATTACTTGAGGTCAGAAGTTTGAGACCAGCTTGAGCAAGAGCGAGACACCCATCTCCACAAAAAAATGAAAAATTAGCCAGGCATGGTAGCATGCACCATGATACCAGCTACTCCAGAGGCTGAGGCAGAAGGATGGCTTGAGCCCAGGAATTTGAAGTTGCAGTGAGCTATGATGACACCACTGCACTCTACCCAGGGCTACAGAGTGAGATTCTGTCTCAAAAAAAATAAAAAAAAACAAGGAAAGTCTGAGAAACTGTCACAGCCAAGAGGAGCTTAAGGACACATGAGAACTAAATGTAATGTGGTATCTTGGATGAGAATGTGGAACACAAAAAAATTACATAAAAACTAAGGAAATATGAATAATGGATGGACTTTAGTTAATAATAATGTATCGATATTGGTTCATTAATTGTAAGAAATATACCATATTAATTTAAGACGTTAGTAATAGAGGAATCTGGTTTGTAGGGTAAATGGGAATTCTCTGTAGCATGTTCTCAATTTTTCTATAAATCGAAAACCATTCCAGAAAATGAAGTCTACTTAAAATCTTTAAAAGAGAGAAAAATGATGCAAAAAGTTGATCTTGGGTTGGCTAGAACAATGGCTAGAACCAGCTCAAGCTGGTCTCAAACGTCTCCTTTAACAGAAATAATGATGGAAAACCTAATACTGATTTTGGTCAGGTTAGAATTGAGGTATGATAGTATATCCAAGAGTGAAAGATATTCCCCAAACAATTAGAAAAAGGCATAGGCAACTTAAGTGATAAGATGTACTAGAAATAATGATTACAAAGAATTAAGAAACAAATAAGCAGTGAGGAAATGGAAATAGCAGGTGTAGATCTGATATTCAAGAAATCTGGCTGTGAATAGGAAGAAATAGAAAATGATAGGTCTTGATTTTTCAGTAAAATAGAAAGTGAAGTCATCTGCTAAGGGAGGGAGAATTAAAAGGGAGGGTCACAGAGAGCTGAAAAAGGTTAGGGAAACAGCTATGGAAGAATGTAAAAAAAAATGTTTTTTAAAAACAGGAAAAAAGAACTGGAGAGAAGTCATCATTTTGGCAGAAGCTAACATTAAGTTAGCTAGCTTCTGTGCTTTTTCTCTAGCAACATCCTATGGCCTAGAAGCAGAAGCCAAGAAAATAGTTGATGGGTATGAGTCAAGATAACAGAAGTGCTTCGTTAGTATAGAAGGTCAAAATGAATGAAGAAAGCAATGAGGACAGTATCAAAGTGCCTAGTCATACAGGTCTAGCTGGGCAGCATCAAAGGTAGCCAAAAGGTACTGATAGACTCAATGAAATGCAAAGGTTAAAAATGAGAGAACCTAAGGAGGGCAAAAAGCTGATTTCTGTAGGTTTGAGGCAGTGAAAAAGGTGACTGGTAAGGAGGCTAAAGTCAGTGACTGGGAGCAACTGAAGTGAAAGCAGTGTTATAGATGACATCTAGGTCTTAGTGATCCTGACGTGCAGCTGGTTTGAAAACACAAAGCAAAGTCAATGATCTCATGCTGAGGAACTATGAGACCAGAGTATTCCAAAAGTGCTGGAGACACTGAGAATGACAGCAAGAAAAACGGGAGAGAAAAAAATATGATGCAATAGACTGGGTCCTTGTGAGCAGTAGATGACGGCACTTAAGTTTTAGAGAAACTGCTATAATTGCATGGCAATACCTTCCACAAGGATTAGAGTAATAGTGGCAGATCAATGATCTGGAAGTAGTAAAGGAAAACAAAAAAGCAGTTTATTCCTTCTTCTTTTCCACATAGTCACAGGGAACAGACAATATCTCTTGGTGGCAGGGTAGGGTGAAATGTGATATCTGGATTTTCATGAAGGTAAAGAAAATGATTAAGAGTGAACAGAAGTGTACTAGACGCTAAGTAGTGCTTTCAAAGCACACATTAAAAGGTGATAGTTAAATCCTCATTATTATTGTGCTGAGTAAAAAAAAAAAAAGTTGACAGTTAAGGATCTACTAGGTAAAAAGCAGGAGGAAAGATGTACCACTTTGAAATGTGAGGTTGGGGAGAAGTAGCAGAGACCTGGGTTGCCATTAGGTATCAAAAGATAGGTGGGCTGAAGTGTAAGAAACATGGAAAGCAACAGAGCAAGAAGCACGAATGGCACATTTTAAAACAGACCGCAGACTGTGTGCACCAAGGCACAGGCACAATATTGCTTCTACAGAAGACAACACACATGCAATGAGGGCTACAGATGCAGAAACACCTTGCATTTGCACAGCATTTTACAAATTCCTTTACATATATTATCTTACTTGATCACCACTGGATAGATATTACTACTACGCACATTTTTCTAAAAGTGAGGCAATTAGGAAGGGGCAAAATCAAGATGAAAGCCTTGATTGTTTCCTACACATACACCTCACATACATAGCAGACACTTCAGCATCTCAGATAGCCCAGCTGGAAATTTTTTTCTAGCCAGAAGGAATAGTGGGTTTTATCAACTTGTCAAAGGACCTGGGAGAAATGCCACTAGACACCATCCTGTTTGCCTTCTTCCATCTGTGACCCCTAAATCCCTATCACCATCATCGGAGAAGGTAGATGAGGGTAGCGCCATCAAGGAAAAAACTTAACCTGAAAGTTATATTAGGTTCCTCTTCCCTTCACACTTCTGGACCTCACTGACCCAACAATTGAAGACGAGGGAGAGAATGGAAAAAGCAATATGTAGCAATGAAGAGATTTTCAACAAATATAGCGTCGAGAAAAAGAATGAAAACGGGGCTGGGGTAGGGCAGAAGACAGGTATAGCTAAGAGATGGGGGGAGGGGAGGAGGGCAGGAATTGGAGGGAACTGAAAGTGTAGAAGCTACCAGGGCTGAAAAATCCAAGAGATATGGGTGCTCCAACTGCTTAAGAAAAGCTACAGGCCCGTGAGGGTCCTGGAGCAGGGACCAGCATTGAAGGACCCCAGAGTTTGGGTGACCGGAAGCAGAGACCCCCAAACATAAGACCAGAAGGGGGCGCAGGAGACACCCCGTAGGAGAGAATGAATGAGGAAGGCGGTCCGGGGGGCGGGGCAAAGGAGGGGCCCCGGGATGGGCGGGGCACAGACCCCTTTCCAAGTCCGAACCCCTGCCCCGAGAGCCCAGGGAGAAGCGGCTCCGCGCCTCCCGCACTCACCGCCGGTCTCGTCTGTTACATAGGGAGTCGCCATCTTGAAAACGCAAACCACTTCCGGCGCGAGCGGGCCGGGGTCCCGCCCCCTCCCCACCGGAAGTGGAGTCCTAATCGTAGCAAGCCACCATTTTAGTCTTAAAGGGAGAGTGCACCATTTCATGGGTGGAGGTGGAGGAGAAGGAAGAGGGGAAAAGAAGCTGAAGCAGTTAATAAAATAAAGCCACGGGCTCTTTCGCTGCCACCGATACCATTATCGTGTGCCTGCTGCGTGTAAAACAGTCCTCGGGGCGCCGAGAGAAGTCCCGAGGCACAATCCCTCTCATCCCAGGCACTCGTACGTCCAGGACCTGCGCGGGAAAAGGGCGCAAGGCCCAGCTGCAAACGGGAAGGGGGGCTGACGAATGAAGAAAGAAACAATATTCAGGCCCTGGCCTGTACCCAGGTCTCAGAGCGTCTTGGTGACATGGGGCAGGCAAATTCCAGGAACTCACTAGGGCGCACAAATGTTGCTGGTGGCGAATAGAAGGCCTCAACTAACCCTCTCTGAGAAGGTGGGGAGGTCGAATTCGCGTGCCGATTGCCCTCGGCCGCCCAACTCAACTCTCCGGACAGAGACCCTCGAGAGGGGAATGCATGGCGGAGGGCGCTGTGGGTCGGTCACCTGTCCCCGCAGCCTCGGGGTTGCCGGTAGCTTCCATGGCCGAAGAGGCGGCGGGCCGGATTGGGTGGACGGCCCTGGGCTGGCTCTGTCTCTGGGCGGCGCCGGGGATTTGGCAGCGAAGTGACGAGGGCCCAGATCACTTCTTGCCCCGGCCTTCTACACGGGGATCCTCCTCGGGCTGGGCCGTAGGGTCAAAGGGCAGGGTGAAGGCTTCTGGGCGGGTCTACTTAGTATTATAATTAACCTCGTCCAACCGCTGGGGATCTAAAGCGGGGCCACTTGCCAATAATTCGGGCCTGTGTGGTCACTCCCTTTGTAGGCCTGCCCTGCCCCGTGCCTCCCTATTCTTCAAACGAGCCCAAATGTTCTTCCTCCCCCGTTCCTTTCACCAACTGTTGTTCATTCTGGGCTAAGTCCTGTTAAACTTGTTTCCCCTACAGCCTGGGAGGGGCTGGCAGCAGGTTCCTCTCCTCAGGTGTTGGCTCTGCCCTCCTCCACCCCCATACGGTTTTTTCCTTTTGGGCCCTTTTACCTTCCTCCATATCTCCCACTTTGGCTTAGGTTAATGTCTATCAATACCCCTGGAACCAGGAAGGAGGTATTAGTGACTATCTCCAATACTAGGCAGCAAGCCCCATTTTAAAAAATAAAAAAAGACCTAGAATAATGGCTGACTAGGACCATTACAAAACAAATTAGGCTCTGAAGTTTTCTGGGGGCCACAGCTTGCCTTCTTTCCCATTCTCCATCTCCTTGACTTCCACCAGAGGACCAATACAGGTGGTCTCAACAAAAAACTAATTTAAAAACTATTTGCAAGTACACGCCTGTAATCCTAGCTCTCTGGGAGGCCGAGGGGGGCGGATTGTTTGAGCTCAGGAGTTCGAAACCAGCCTGAGCAAGAGCGAGACCCCGTCTCTACTAAAAATAGAAAGAAATTAATTGAACAACTAAAAATATATAGAAAAAATTAGCCTGGCATGGTGGCACATGCCTGTAGTCCCAGCTACTCGGGAGGCTGAGGCAGGAGGATGGCTTGAGCCCAGGAGTTTGAGGTTGCTGTGAGCTAGGTTGACACCAGGGCACTCACTCTAGCCCCGGCAAAAGAGTGAGACTCTGTCTTAAAAAAAAAAAAAAAACTATTTGCATACAATACACAGTTTTTGCAAGTGTTCTGACACTGCCATCCTTAACCCCTCCTCTTCTTTTTTTTTTTTTAACCCCTACTCTTCTTTCACCAATTGTGCTTCAGCGCTGCCAAGTCTAGCATTTTGTCCTTGGCCTTGTTACTAATGATTAGAAGTGAGAGCGTGGGATACTTTGGTCTTCACTGAACTACCTGAGGAGTGGTTTCTGCAGCTTCCAGATGGGCCAATCAACAGACCTTTCTGCAGGGGGGATCCTAAAGTGGCCCCTGTTCACTACTGAACCCTAGGCCCCTCACTACACCCCCAGACATCCTGCCCCAGCTCTGGGTTTGACAGGAAGTGAAACTCAATCGTCTGTAGACCAGCCTGGGCCCCAGCCCTAGGCCCCGGATGTGGCCCCCCACCCTGAGGAGGAAGAGGGGAAAGAAGAGGCTGGGGAGAACAAGCTGTTGTTTTTTCCTTTCCCTTTGTTCATTGTGGTTTCTTTCTTTCTGATTTTGATGATATGGTTGATTAAAGAAATGAGCACCTGGAACCGTAGGCATTAGACACCTCCTCCTCAGATGTTTCTTGGTCTTTCTTCTCTCTCCCCCACCAGTAACTGACTTGGGGTATGATAGAGCACAGATCCTAAAGAAGACACAAAGAAGCCTGAGTTAAGACTGATTCCACCTTATTCCTTATTAGAGAGATAACCTCATACACCACTTTGAAGTCCTAAAAAATGTCTTTAAAAGGAGTGTCTTGCCTGGCATGGTGGCTCATACCTATAATCCCAGCATTTTGGGAGGCCAAGGTGGGAGGATTGCCTGAGGCCAGAACTTTGAGACCAGCCTGGGCAACATAGCAAGACCCCATTTCCACAAAAAAAATTTTAAAAATTAGCTGGGAGTGGTAGCTCACACCTGTAGTCCCAGCTACTCAGGAGGCTGAGGCAAGGGGATTGCTTGAGCCCAAGAGTTTGAGGTTGCAGTGAGCTATGATAAGACCACTGCACTCTAGCCCAGGCAACAGAAGAAGACTCTGTCTCAAAAAGGGGAAAAAAAAAAGGAGTGTCTTTAATTTTATGTAGGGACATATCTGAAGATGGTGGAGCAGGAAACCAAGGTTATACACAAGGTGGTATCGCTGCAAGTGTTATCTGCAAGGAAAGCTAAGTGCCTTAAATATTAATATCATTCCAGGATTTCTAGATGATTGTCAGAGGAAACTATTCTTACTTACATTGTATGTTTGTGTTTAAGGTAGCTCAGAGCAAGGAGGCTTTATACACACATCAAGCCACTCTTTGGTGCAGTCCCTAAACTGGGCTGTGTCTTTGCCTGTACTGCAGAACTCAGTACAGGATCTGATGTATAGAAAACCTTCATAAGTATTTGTTGACTACGACTAAGGAGGTCATATAGGAAGGGGAGATGAAGCTCTGCTAACAGTGAAGAAAATACTGTTAAGATGAAGGATGGGGACTGGCAGGGCCCTTGTGTTTTAAGATTGAAGGTGAGAGGGTAAGACCTGGAAGGGACACGGGAGTAGAGAGACAGACCCTCTTCAACCTCTGCCCCAGATCTCAGTTTAGATACAACAACAATACTCCTAAACCCTATTACTCAGCAGCTGTATTTCTGGTAAAAGAGGAGAAGTCTGTTCCAACAAACCTGTCTTCACTCAAGAACTGCTTAGGTTCTTCTGTTTCCACTAGAGGGCCTCATGTATTCATTCCATTTCCTCTCCATTCCCCACCAAAAATGTGTGTGTGTGTGTGTGTGTGTGTGTGTGTGTGTGTGTACATACGTGTATATACACAATACACACACATACCCTTCCAGTAAGAGGTCTCCTCTCTCCCTCTTTCCCACCCCCAGACGTAAAAGGGAGGATTCCAGGAACCTTTTTAGGTTCCTGGCTTTATTACTCTGCCCTATTTCAATGAAGGGTAGGAGGGAGTTAGACAGGGGTTGGGGCGGAGCCAATGAGCAGGATGCCTGGCTCCTCAGTTCCTACCAGTAAGTCCCTAGGCCTCTATGTCTCTCACTCTACCAGCCTCACCGCCATCTATACTGCCCCAAGAGCCTTGACAACTCTAGAACAGACTCCAGGCAGGAGAAGCTGAAAGGATCTCCTTTCACCCCCTACTTTTGGCCAAAGTCTTCTGCACCACCTGCCAAGGTCAGCAGGTAAAGTGGGAGGGTTACAGCACAGAGAAAAAGGGTGGACACAGACCAGAGTGCTCTTTGCATCCAAACCTTCACCCTAGAATTAAGGAGAGGATATGAGTCTTGAAAGGAGGCGTCCTTTGGGGAAAATAGGTCTAAAAGAGAGGTGAAGAACCTGGAGAAGAAGGTGGGCAGATTGTCTGAAGCAGAGTCAAGCAGTGTGGAGTCCAGGAGGGGAAGAAGTTGTTTGGGTCTCAGAACGTAGAGTCTGGAACTTTAGCCTTGCCCCTGTGGGATCTCCTGGGAGTGTGAAATCAATGGTGGATGGAAAGGAGTTGGGTAGGGAGTTGGGCAGGGAGGTCCAGGATAGCAGCAGTTAGGAGAGGGTAAGAAGTTAGTTGGGTGGGCAGCTACTGAACTGTTCTATTATCAGCCTGCCCCCTATCTTGGCCTTAAAGCTTTGGGATGAGGGGAGAGGCTGTGAACGATTAGAAAGAAGGGAAAATAGACAGCAGCAGAGCTGCCCAGGCGCGGAAGAAGAGGAGGAGCGTAGGAAGTGGAGAAAGTGGCACAGGTCACAGACCTGGACATATTCGGGGAAGGGGGAAGCAGGTTTTGGTGAACTGGAAACCTGGAAACAAGGGCCTTCCCAGAAGTAGGGGCGCTGGGAGCGGGCGCGGGCGCGGGCGGGCAGGCTGGGGTTGGGGGCGGGCAGCTGTGTCGTCAGGAGTGGGGCGGCCCCGCGGCGGCCGCGTTTGCCTGGCCCGTCCCCTCCAACCCAGCTCCGGCTCCAGCTTCAGCGCCGGCGCTTCAGCTCCGACCGCGCGCCCTTCCCCCGCCAAGGTAGAGACCCCGCGAGCCCCCACTGCCCCCTCATGGAGCAGGAGTGGAGCACGGGAGGGGACGACCCACCGGCTGGGTTAGGGCTGCTGGGTCGGAAAGGAGGAAGCGTGACAGCTGGAGTGGGTAGCTAGGAGGGTTTGAGCTGGACCGCGAGGGGCAGCGGGAGGGCTGGGCCAGAACCCGGTAGGCAGCGCTTCCCAGCCCAGCCCTTCCCCTCCATCCCTCCGCTCAGTTGGAGGGATGGTGAAGCTGGAAAGTCCCTTTTGGAACCTCCACAGCACTGCAAGGGTGAAGGATTCTTGTTTGGCCTCCTGGTCCCCAACTTCCCACCCCCATCATTTCTCCACCTGTCACTGGGAAGTTTCTGGAAATACCTGAGCCTGAATCTCACTTTTCACCTTTAAGTAAGAGAAATAAGCTTTACTGAGGAAGAAATGCAAATATTATTGGGCATCTATTTAGCCTCAGAACATACAAGCCCACATCCCCCAACCATGCCAACATCATAACTTCCTCATGTACTATGTACGCAATGACACCTTCCACGGACACACACCACACACACATATTACCCCCTTAGCTAGACAACACTACAATCATCAATGTTTGGGGAGGTTTAATGAGCTTTGAGACTTCAAGCCAAATGTTCCCTCTCAGGACCCACTGGCTAGTGGCAGGGGTGGGCAGGGAAGAGTAGACCCTCCCTCAGTTCTGGGAGAGAGGAGGAGGATACCATTCCAGGTGTGCTTAAGGAATTCAGAAGTACAGGTAAGCAGGCCTGGGCCCTCAAACTAGGAGTGCCTGTCCCTTAGGGTTTCTTGCTGGGGCAGCCTGAATGTTCTGGGGCCATAGCTAGTTCTTGATTAATGGTCAACTTATATTACTTGGAATGTGAGCAATGAATGCTGAAGTGAAAAAGGAAACTTTAAATATTAGCACTGGCTTTGGAAATAATATTTACCTCTTGGTGTCTAGAGTCTGATTGTGACCCTGAGACTGTCACACTCTGTCTGGACCTCAGTTTCCTTCTCTGTAAAATATGAGGGTTAG